TCCGGATTTCAAAGAAGATAGAGCAGAAGTTAATTGATGTCGAAATACTATAGTGCCAATGTCTATGACATATAATAAGCCGTTGACTGAAAGATTGCTATCTCTTTACCATAAGGATTACACGGATTTTTTGACTGTTGATCTGTTCAGCGTTTATCTTCTGTCGCGTGTTGACATTGTAATTCGTTATATCGAGGTAGATTTTACGTTTGGGCTTCCGGATTATGTTCGTTATATCGAAGAATTCGTTATATCGAGGGTCGTTATATCGAGGTTCTATTCCATACATTTTACTGTAACTTTGGCCGGGACACAGAATATCGTTCGTTATATCGAGGACTTCGTTAAATAGAGGTTCGTTAAATCGAGGTTCCACTGTATTCAAAATTGCTTACTTCGTGTGAGGTCCATTAAAAAAAAAATATTGATGCGCATTTGTCTTGTTATTGAATATAATCATGACATTGAACTGGCTTCCTATTCTCGGTTTTCACCAGTCATGTAATCAAAACTAACAATCGTAACCGTTCAATAAATAAATTCAAGAATCTGGCGTATGATGGATGATTGCTATATAAACAACCTCGCCAAGAATCAGGTTTCTGCTGTTTTTCATTCGCCCGTTATTCGCAGAAGTGTGTCACCCAAATTTATAGAGCTTTGTATGGAGACGCCATGTTTGTGCCCTTCGCAGGGGCACAAACATGGCGGCCGTAAAATAACAAAAACATCTGTCGTTGAGTTTTGCAATTGAAACGAAAATTTTTACTCTAGAGCTCCGACACATTTAAATAAATGCTTCTTCTAGTGCAAGCATCGTTTATTTAGCAAAAACTAAAGCGGTAACTCATCTTTTGGCCTACGCGACACTCTTTTCGGGCCGCCATTTTCATGTCACACAACGCAAAAGCTTGGAGTGCTCTATTACAAAAAGAAGAACTCTTTCGAGCTAAAAGATTGTCAAGCGTCACGTTCCTATAGGGTCTTTTATCTGATGAAACTAAAACCGCGGAAGGAAAGATAATTTCTAATTTTGGAATATGACTACGTCATATGAAAACCAAGAATTGGTTATTCAAAAGCTGTTATTGCAGTTATCAGCGGTTTGACATTGTATTGACCCGTTTGCCTCGTTTGTATGCCTTTTTAAACAAAAGAATATTTGATCGCAGGCTCAACTGCAATAATAGCTATTTGGCGAGGCTGTATCCTTATTGGGAATAAAGTAATGGCGTTTTATTTTTATTCCAATCCAGAAACGCTTACCCCGATAGTCTTAATCAGTTGACGCCAGAGGAAAAGAAGAAGATCGTATCAGTGATTGGTCTATCCAAAGGTCACTGGTTCAAGTGTCCCAAGGGACATATCTATTGCATAGGTGAATGCGGCGGTGCCATGCAGAGAAGCACGTGTCCAAAATGCGGAGCTGTAATTGGTGGAGCAAATCACCGACTGGAAGAAGGAAATGAGCTGGCTCCTGAGATGGACGGTGCAAGTCATGCAGCTTGGTCTGAACAGGCAAACCTACGAAATTATGGAAATTTACAGGAAATCGTACAAGTTGCTCTCGCTTAGAGTTGCCTTCAAGGGAACAAATTGAAATATTTTCTCTTCGTGAGACGCAAAACAAAATATCATATAGTCTTGGCGTGCCGCTTTTTTTTCACAAGGTAAATGTTGTTTTGGTGACCGCCTCATGAGAAACGGAACACTGAGTTCCTTAGTAGTTTTGATTAGAATTAGTTCAACATAGTAATAATCAAGAGTACAAGTTCTATTTGATCACCCTTAGGACCAATGAGGATATTATTGCCCTTTTTTTCCTTAGATATGCAACAATTAAGAAATGAGAAGAAAGAAGACGATCATAAAGAAATTAGACATGATCATAAAGGCGAACTGATGTGAATTGTATGACAGTGTCAATGGTGGGTCTCTTTGACGGTTGACGGTTGAAAATAGCCAGTTTTGACGGTTGACGGTTACATTTTAGGTAGTTTGACGGTTGACATTTAACCCCATTGACACCCTCTAATGTTGAAAACGAGTTCATCCAATTAGTGTTTTAAGAAACTTATATGGTTACTGCACGCTAAGGAGTATTTGTATGCTGACAACAAGGCTTAATTAAGGCATAAAGACCATTAGAAGTTATTCATAACACAACAGGAAATACGGCAACGAAATGAAGGGTGTATCAACATGATGCACTCGGTGGGCTGTTGATTGCTAAGTCACTACTCATCAATACTTAATCCAGGGGCGGGTCTAGGGGGAGGGTGCAGGGGGTACGCGCCCCTCCTTGGGAGGAAGCCTTCTTTTTCGCATTCACTTTCAAAATTTGTTTACCTCACTAGTCAGTTATGTCATTCCTTAGTGGTGCAGCCCCTCCTAAGAAAACTCCTGAATCCACCCCTGTAATCTTTTAGGTGTTTTGGCTCTTTCTGTCCCTTACTCAATTTCTAGCTGGAAATTTTACTTTAATAATAGAAGAGATTCTTTATTTAGTTTCTTTGTTATTAATTACAGTGGAACCCCGCCTTACGACCACTCCATTAACACGGCCACTTTATTCCGGTTCGAACAGAAGCTCAGTCAGTCAACTCCTTTAATACGGCCACCCCGTTAATACAACCAAATTTTTGTGACCCGTTGGTGATCAGATTAACGGGGTTCCACTGTTGTTACTACGTTGTATCAGCCTTACAGTAGTCTTTGACTTCTCATCGTGTTATGTTTTTTGTCCACGTTTTAATAGTCCTGAAATTTTGCCGAATCCTGTTTGATTGTGTCACATAGTTAGATCAATATAGATACTATTACCGTATACAAATCGCTTTACATCATCTAATAAAGCAATTATGATCAGAAATACTTGTCATTTGCTTATGGAAATACGGTATTTCAGAGTTATCCACCATTCAGGAGAATGCATTTCAATGTCTTTTAATACTGAAGAATATTAATACGACCCTTTTAAGACGAATGCAGAAGGAACCTGTTTACACAGCGGACACCTTAACGTGTTAAGCGGACACTAGCACGAGGGTGGTAAAGGGTATTTTCGCGACCCGTGATCGGCCCTTTTTATTTCCTATGAAATGTGAAATAGCCATTTTTTTCCCTCGTGAATCGTGATTTCCATAGTCGCCGTGAACCGTGATTTTCCAAAACGTTCTCTTGTATTTTCCGTGAAGCGTGAAATGCCAATGTTGTATTTTTCGTGAATTGTGAAAGGGCTGCTTTACTTTCCGTGAAACGTGATCTATACTTCCCCTTTACCACCCTCTAGCAAGGTCCGCCTAATACAGGTTTAACTGTAGATTTGCCGTTCGCTCTAATGTTGGCATTCTGGTGTAGACAGGGTTTCCGTCTGCTGTCCCCGTGGTGGGGGACATAAGTATGTGCGATCCCAAAGGGTATGGTTTTTGAGCGGCTTTGCTAGTCAATTTTTTGATTTCCCTCGCGCACTGTACTTTGCTGAAATCCCGACCCTCTCCCCATGTACAAAATGTTTTGACACGCGCTTGCCTCGGATACGCGTGTCGAGTCAACATGGAGGACTTTCAAGTGTCTTCAAAATGGAAACCCGAAAGTCGCATATTAAATAACGCTTTAGCGGTTACTACTGGCTGAAGCAAACGACGCCAATAGCCAGATTGCTGATACAGACAATGATGCATATATGGAGAAGGACTTGGTAGTTCTCGTTTGTCTTCAAATTCGGATGTGAGCACCGTCGAGAACGCCGCTGAAAATATGCAGGGAAAGAATCAGTTTTCAAGATTCAGGATATTACATACCGAAGAAGGTAAACATTTTTATGTTATTTATACCCTGCTGATGCTTCGAAATGCTGACGTTTCGAACTGAAGTAATATTAGGATGTACAGTGGCGAAACATGTAAAGTGACAATAATTTTGGTCACGCACTTTACTGCTGGCGTGATTTTGTGTCTTTTGTAGACGATTTTGAATAATGTTTTGACGAATGCTAAATCATATGCCCAAAGTAAATTTTAAATAACTTAAAAGACCTTGACAATTCTTTTCACCGACCGACTAACTCAACGTTGGAGAACGCTCTGGTTTTGTTTACCGACCTCTTTACCCGCCAAATAATTAGGCCAGTATTCTTGAAATTGTGCTTTGTTGGACAAGGAACAGTTCTGCAATACAACTTTTCTGCGCTCAACAGTTGCGACATGTGAATCGAATGAAAATGGTCGATTTTCAGTCGCTAAACTGAGTCTGAAGGTTACTGAATCGAAAATGTCGTTTTTCTGCGAAGGGCAAAAATCTTCCAAGGGAAAAACTACAACCTGTTTGCATTCATGTGCAAAACACGAGCGAAGTTGAGTTCTCCAATCTTGCCAAAATTTGATTTTGTTCGATTTCCGTGCACTTTTGCTCTAAATAAGCTGTGAGACTAAATGGTCATAGGAGCTAAAACGATATTCACATGGAACTCGCAGGGAGCTCAGAGGGAACACAAATAGGGAAATTACAGGCAACCCACGGTGATCGCCGGGGTGCACCCGCAGCATATGAACGGGGGAGCCACGTAATGCTTACACTATGGCAACGATGCATTTGAGGATGCACGGGAGAAAGGGAGCAAATCG